GTTCCACTGCCTTTTCTTCTACCAGAAGGGCAAACTTTATTTTGGTCACTTGCTGGAGCCTTATTGTCCTGCATTTTACATGTTTTGATAATATCTGCTGTCTCCGAGACATTAAGGTATTATTTTCTTTATTTATTGATTGCATGTTTGTTTCTTTTATCTTGCTTCTTTGCTTTGTTTTGATATGTCAGGATGGGTGGGCTAGGAATGCTTTGCTGCTTACTCATCTGTGGGCATGATAGCTCTTACCACCTTGTCTGCATGGGCTGGGGAGCAGCAGGGAGGGCAAGCCCAATTCACTGTATATTGGTTTGGTGAGGTGGCTGAGGGTGGACTGGGTGGGCACTGTCCACCACCTCATGTTGATTCAGTGGCATGGGAGTGTTCACAGCTCCTCACCAGTTAGGCATGGGTCTCGGAAAGAGAGTGGTATGGGCTTACTTTCCACCATTCAGCAGCTGGTCTAGTGGTAGTAGGGTAGGGGCAGTGTGAGCCTGGTACAGTGGTGGTCCTGAGTGCTGGGGACATTCTAGCTGTGGTTGCACAGCAAGGGCTGGTGGGAAGGGGTGATGGCATATGCGGCTAGGTATGGGGGAGAAAGAAAAGAAAAGAGGGAGAAAGAAAGAAAAGTGTAGCTGGCAAGTGATGGCTGGGAGCTCCTGGGGGCTTGCTGGAAGTGGGGGAAAGTGGTGTATGGGGATGGTGCTCTGTCTCCTGTTGGGAGCTCTGTGATGTTGCCTTCCTGTACTCCCTGTCTGGGATTGTTGCTGGCTGTGCTCTAAGATGGTGACGTTGTGCCATGTTAGTTGGCAGGGCACCTCCACTGCATATCTCTCCTCTTTCTCTGTTTTCCTTCAGTTTCTTCTTCCATTCAGTGTTTGATCCCTTCATCTGATGCTTAGGGTTCCAGGATTGATGTTTGTATCTATTTTACTTAGTTTTTTGGGTCTTTGCTTCAGAGGGACAGCATGATGTGTCCATCTAGGGTGCCATGTTTCCCACCAGTTACTTTGGACTTTATCAGTCTTCCTCCTTTCCCAGTTTCATCTACCAGTGGTTACTATCATTATACCTGTTAACCTGTGTTAAGTTTTTAATGTCCTTTCAGAAACTTTAATATATAGCCCTTCTTTCAATACATGATCTTTCCAATAAACAAAGGTTTGCTAGAGACCTGTTGCCTTAACCTAAAAGACTAATTTCCCAACTCTGGGATTTTGAACACTTTGGCGTAATGATGGGAATATTCCCATTTTCAAAAAAGCAATTTTTGATCCTTACATGGTCCTTAAATGACTGTACAAATGTCTTCTCCTAGGCCGGTCTCAGTTGTGCCCTTTCTTCTAGTGAACATTGCTTCATCACTGATGCGCATCCTCACTTTAAATAGCAAAGATACACTTCACAGTTCTTGTTCCACAAGTCTAAAAAAGCCAACTCAAAGTTTTAATAACTCCCACTGCAAGTAGATTGTAGTGGGTAATCCCCAAACCCCTAAATGTCACTGCCTTCTAGTGGCTTTTATATTAAGGCAGGAGAAACTATGTATGCGTACTCCAGGCTTCTGATGTTCACTAAAGATTATGGCGATTCCATAGGCTTGTGAATCTCAAAGGACATGGTGTTTTTGATTCCTGCTACATAGGTGGTAGGTTAAGAGCTGAACACAATTTTAAATATCTTAAGAAGCAGTTATGGTTTGTGTTTTTCAGGTAGTATAACAGATAAAGAAGATTAGCGATGATTTAAAAATTGTATGAAGCACAATACAAAGGAGGAGGTAGTAAAGAAAAACTATATATATAACTTGAAGATATAAAGAGGGATGATTCTATTAAATGAGAATGAAAGCTGCTTTTCTGGTGATAAAGAAGAAGAAAAGAACTCAAAACTTTTTATTCATGTAAAATGAGTATATTATGTATTTAGGTAATATAATAGTTCCTATTAATAAGTCAGGCCAATAGAAGAAATATTCAAACGTGTGAAGCTGAGAATTCTCAATGCATTTAATATAACAAGGAACTAATATGGTTAAAGAAATAAAATGGACTAGTTATTACTATTTTAAATTTATAGTTTTATTCTTTGTTGTTGAGAATATACATAGTAGAACAAATACCAGTTCAACAATTTCCACAGTGTGCTAGTCAGTGACACTGATTACATACTTCAAATTGTGCAACCATTCTCACCCTCCTTTTCTGAATTATTTCTCCCCCATTAACAGGCTGGGTATTTTTGAACAGCATTCCTAAATTTGTACTGTTACCAAAATGTTACCCAGGAAATATACATAGTGCTTATTTTCTTGAGTGTTACCCAGGAAATATGCTTGGTGCTTTATACAGAACTTCTAATTTAGTTCTCACAGGTAAAGCGGCCAAAAGTTTGAGAGGTTACTGAGGTTCAAACAAGGTTAAGCAGCAGGTAAAGAGCACATTAACCACTTACCAATACTTTAGTTTTAAGATTTTTGGGATATTGCGCTCTGGTAAATTTTTAAAATAATATTTATGAATGTTGGCAAAACATTTTGAATAGTGCAAGTGAAATTAGGATGGAGCTAGATTTTTGTCCAGATGGGAAATCAGGAAGTCATTTAAGTGAAAAATGTTGCTGAGGGTAACACAGTATTTAGGTCCCAAGCTTCCAGTCACAGAGTGTAAAAAGGATGTAATAATAACGTAGTTCACAATTTGGAGTGTACAGTTCATTTACCTCTGCACAGCAACAATTAAAAGGATGAAGCAGAGGTTCCCCCTACCCTTGATTATTTTTCTACTTCTAATTAGATTATGAAATTTGCTGCTACAGAGGGATCTCTGATTCTTCAACTCTAAAGGCAGAATGTGAAAACAATAAAAAATTTGTGATAATTATCCAAAAATAAAGGCAAATTTTTTTTTCAAAATTTATTTTAGTTTTTAATATAAATCAGCCAAAATTGATTATTTTCTAGCCTGGAAACCATGCCACCACATTTAACTGAAAACAGCTGGCTGACCTGGAGGTTTAATCAACTAATCAATTAATCCAGTGAAAAGAGAATACATAACCATAAAACTCATTCTTTGACTGAATTTATTGATTGGTACTGTCAGAATAGTTAAATCTGATGTCTGTTAATATACAATCTAAAGAAATTTTCAGTAGTCAGTAGTCTCAGGCTTTCATAAAGTGAGGTTTTTGTTTTCATTGCTACTTATTTTTTAACTACTTTTTCAGGGATCGTTGCAGATAAATTGACAGAAACAAAGTGGAGGAAAGGAAAATCAAATAGTTCATTTATTGACTGTCTTTCCATTTCCATGTTCTCTGAATTAATAACGATATAACTTAATTCTTTTCTGTTCCTATTAAGATTAACTACAACTTAAAAGTTAGTATACCAATGTTTAACAGTTATTTTATTTACAATGTCTCACTGACACATTTAAACTTTAATCTTTTTCAGGGTACCCAGAAAACTTTTATATAAAATAAGAAACAATCACATTTTCAAAGATAGATAAATTGTAACACAGGATTAGGTATAATAAGAGTATCTATTAATAATTAAATTATAAAGTCAGGAAAATAGATGAAATGTTCAAATGTGCGAAGCTGAGAATTCTCAAATGATTTAAAGTGTCAAGGGAACTCACATGGTTTTACCTATGAAGTGATTTAACCTTAAAAAATGAAATGATTTTGGTAGCACAATGTCTATCTAAATACCTGAACTGAAACTGAATATAAAATTAAAGTTAGAATGTCTTTGGGGTCATTTAGCCTAACGTAATTAAAAAAAAATTCTTAGAATTTTTTTACTCATTTAATTTCCAATAACATGGGTAATTTTCCAAATAACTTGGCTGAATCTCCTGAAGTCAAAGATTTAAATTTCATTAGAAGAGTGAACCTCATCTGGTTACAAGATTAGCTCTCATTTACCAGTACTGATTTTAATTTGGTTTGTGCCACACTTTTGGCTATTTGGTAAAGACGTTGACATTTCATAGGAGATGAAGTTTGCATAACTTGTGATGTGCTATAAATTGAAAACCTGATTTTTAAAAATGAGTCTGAGTCCTTGGAGTATTTTTCTTTTTTTTTTTCTAGTCTAATATGTATATATATATAGAGAGAGTAGAAAACATATACATTATACATTTATGTATATAACATATATTTTGGAGGGGAACAGTATGAAGAGAACCAAAGAAGGAATATTCTCTTTTTAAAAAATATTTCTATGAGATCATAAAGTAACAAAAGTTGAGAATCGCTTTCATTTTTCAGGTATGCATTTTGGTCCTCAATAGTTTCATGGAGTTAAGAAATTAAAAATAAAATAATTTACCACCCTTATAGGATACTAAATGGGTCCTCTGAAATCATTGTATTAAAGTATTAATTAAATCCAGTGTTCAATTATAATTGGTTCAATACAGTTGCATTTTTTTGTGTATGTAACAGAAACCTTTGTGATTGCAACCTTCCTTTTAATTTTTATTTAAGTAGAACACACAAACTTAACGTACTCTTCCTCTATAAATATGGATTATATAACTCCTTAGTCAATATTCAGAAGCAACCAAGAGGTTGCCCATTTGAAGAGATATATGATAACAGTTGTTAAGTGGATCGAAAAATAAAAACTTTCACTGGCACAGTTATAAGTTAAAGTCCAGGTACAATGTTGTAGTGAATTATTGAGTGATATTATTATTCCCTCACATGTAGTTGCAAAAGTATTGTATTTTTACAGCTCCGTCATTTTGTTCCTTTTAAGATTATAGAGCAGATTCTGAAGATCAATGGAGGGATTCAACCATTCCAGAGTGTCTGAATTCATGTTACTTGGACTTACTGATTCCCCTGAGCTCCAGATTTTCCTCTTTGTGATGTTTTCCATTTTCTATTTAATGACCATGTTGGGCAATTGCCTGATTTTGCTCACAGTCATATCTACTCCACTCCTCCACTCCCCCATGTACTTCCTGCTGAGCAACTTGTCACTTATTGATATGTGCCTGTCCTCCTCTGCCACTCCAAAGATGATCATGGACTTCTTCGCTCAACAAAAGACCATCTCCTTTGAAGGCTGCATTTCACAGATCTTCTTTTTGCACCTCTTCACTGGAACTGAGATTGTGCTGCTTATCTCCATGTCTTTTGACAGGTATACTGCCATATGCAAACCTCTTCATTATTCAACAATTATAAGCCAAAGAGTGTGTGTTGGGCTTGTAGTGACTTCTTGGACAGTGGGATTCCTGCATACAATAAGCCAGTTAGCTTTTATCCTTTACTTGCCCTTCTGTGGCCCCAATGTTGTAGACAGTTTCTTCTGTGACTTTCCTTTGGTCATCCAGCTAGCTTGTATAGATATTTATGTTCTTGGGATCTTCATGATTTCTACTAGTGGTGTGATTGCTCTTATAAGTTTTCTGCTTTTGCTCACTTCCTACGTCATTGTTCTTGTCATTATCAACAGCCACTCCTCCAAAGGATCATCCAAGGCTCTCTCTACCTGCACTGCACACTTCATAGTTTTATTTATGTTCTTTGGGCCTTGCATCTCCATCTACATGTGGCCTTTCACAAACTTCCTGGTGGTCAAAGTTCTCTCTGTTTTCTGTACCATTTTCACCCCCTTTCTGAATCCACTTATCTATACTTTTCGAAGTCAGGAAGTGAAGACAGCTATGAAGAAGAAACTAAGTAATCAGTATTTCAGTGTTGGGAAAAGTATACCACTTTATCCAGTGCGATGAAAAGAGATCTCCTATATGAGATTTAGTATCACTAGCTTTGTTCTTAGAGGACTATTTGATTAAACTTAGAATGTCTGTGGGGCCATTTAGTCTAAAGTCATGAAAAAAAGAAGCTAGGTTTGATAGATGTGAAACTGCTGGTCTAAAAGTTAGTGTAGTGTTTGCAAGCCTTATGTGATTATGGATCCATTTGAAAATCTGTTGAAATCTGTAGGTTATTTTCATAAAGATTTACATATCATCAAAATTATGAACACAAATTTAGGGATTCATAGACCCATGAATTCTATAAATATACTTCAGATTAAGACTTCTTGGAGAAGTCTGAGGTAAAATACTGTTCTTTTGTCTTCTAGCCCAGAACATTTCCACTCTGTGGCACAGCTTTGTGGTATTCTGATGGTGTCCACTTGTAGACTTCCAATTTGGAGTGTCAAAACAGGTTTCATGATAGCACTGAAAATACTTTCATAGGCAAATTAATAGTATGAAGAGATTCTTTTGAACAATTTGTAAAAATCTTGATTCAGTGGGTCCAATTGTTTGAGTCAATTTAGGGCACAAGAGAACAGTTTGGAGGATCTAAAATTTAACAGTGTTAAGCTAAAACAACACAGTATCTTAATAAGTGTGCAGATCACAATCATACTTGATAAGTGATATAGCAAATAATTAATCAAGTGGCAATTTATGAAGTTTAAACCACAAAGAACACTGCTCAAATTCAATTGCTTTCATAACTTGGCTGAAAATCACAGACATGATGAATTCATTTAATACTGAGACTAAATGTTTGGGAAAATCATTAACTATTAAACTACTGACAAGTTTTTTATTTCAAAAAAAAAATTCTATACTATTGTTAGTCTTTGTATACGTGTCTCATTTTTCAAAATGTGGCCTAGAGAAAAAAAGGATGATAAGAATTTCAGAAATATATAGCACAATTCTTACTAAGTTGTTTTATTATTGACCAGACTAAATATACTTTTCTGTGTAATGGAGGTGGTGGTAGAGTCATCTTAAAATCTAGATACTTAAGGTAGACTTGAATTTTCGAGTACTCATCCATTCTTTACATAAAAATATAATCAATGTCTCTCAAACACCTGGAGGCTACTTGGGTTAGTAAGACAAGAACATCTCCTCCTGCCACCCCTCAACCCACTCAGGAAAAAAAAACAAAAGATAGCTGGTCATTTCAGGAACATAAAGACCAATGTAGCTATGAAGGAATGGAAAAAAATTATACGCATATATGTAATTTTTTTATTCTTTGTGTTAAGGAAACAAAAAAGCAGAATGTTTTCAGCTCCTCTTCCATCCTGTAAGGTGTGGGTCTGAGTGGAAAAAAGAAAATCTGAACAGAGTGAAGATTATTCTGCCTCCTACCTATTCTAACATTTCCTTTAACTTCATCTAAAATTGTAAAATAGAGTCTGACATGCAGCATAATCTCCAGTTTTTCAGTTCTGACAGGAAGTCAATAGCCTCTCCTAAAAAAAACAATAAAATTCGGAAGTTCATTTTATAACAAAATAAAATGCCACATTAAGAATTTATATTTTAATGTGATTCAGTGCTATAGTTGTAGGCACAGATTCACACAATTCTATGCTTCTTCAACTGTGGCTAAGTGACTCTCCATGGGTAAGAATTTCAACTAGTGCATGTCTGACCTTTGAAGGAATTTTTTAAACAATTCTGAATCATAGCCATTTTGAGGGGCATCATGTAGTTTTTTTTAATGAGGAATGCCAGAATCATCTGTAGTTTTAAATGCACATGCTCAATAGTTATGAGATGCACCTCAATCATCTCTACTTTACAGAAGTTTCATAGGTTTTTTCTGATGTGCATTCTGCCAAAGACCATTTCCATAGTGAAAACAGAAAAGTTCAATAGAATATGTTTTCAGTCATGAGATTTTAGAACAAATCCAATAGCTGAAGAACCTAACGTCCAAAGAATTCTTAGAGCTAGCTGAAGAACCTAACATTCAAAAAATTCATAGAGCTAGCTCAAGGCTGAATCACTCACTGTAAGGGGTAAATTAGAACATTGCTCTAGACGCATATGAACCTGGGAATCAAATCTGGGCACTGCCATTTCCTAGTTTTGTTATCCTGGAAGATTCATTTCACCTCTCTATGCCTTTCTCATCTCTAATATGAGGAAAACAAAACAAAACAAAATAAAATATTGTTGTGATTATTTTATGCAAAATGGAAAGAATGGTTTTTAAAAATGTCATTTCCGTTTCCCTTCTTACCTTTTTGGGCTTACCCTTTTTTACCCAAAATGCATCTTGTTTTTAAGTAATTGACCTTTGAAGAATCAATGCATTCAGGGCAAACTACCAGTGTGTAAAATTTGATACTCTAGTTTTAGGACGTCTCTAAGAGTGTACTTGGTATGACATATGGCAACAAAACAAATAGAACACTCTAACAGTTTTCCATTGTTAACATGATGGGTGGTTAAACTGGATAGATTGCCTGATACTTTTGAGATTCATACTGATAACAATATACTGATGGACGGTGTCCCCTTGAATTAATTGAAGTATATGAAAAGAGTTCCAGAAGCAATCTTTATCATGGATTCAGACACTTGGTGAATGCCACGAGAAAAACTAAGTCCCTTCCTTGCAAAGAAAGAAATGGCATTAATAGTATCTTACATGTATCTTGGACATGAAACACAAACAACTTCCAAGCCAAATATTTATAATCTGAAGTTAAATAATGTGCAAAAGTTTATGAAGAAATACGATATTGGAATGAGGTATAAAACGTCATTTTTAATTTAAAATGCTAGTTTATTTTTAACCAAATCACAAACTTTTCCTTCTTGCCTCAAAATCTGTCAGACAAAGAAAAAAATTAAGGTGGAAATGTATTTTTACCTCGTTCCCATTCTTCAGCTAAAATTCTTATCTTTGTTTAAAATTCAAAACCCTTGTTTCTGAAATATCAGTCTTTAGTTCAATAATTATTTGCTGAGTTCCTACTCTTTTTCAGGCCCTTGCTTAGTGATAGAGATACACTAAAATACAAGGTCTGTTTATCTGTCTTTGAGGGGCATATATCTTGTAATTAGGCAAGACTAACCTATTGTAGGTCTGAATTCCATTCACACCACTTTTTTGTTGTGCACATCTTGAGCAACATTTTAAATGCTTCTAACTTTCTGTTTTTTCATCTATGTGATAATGGTCTTTTACTGCTAGGAATGTTGTGAAAATTAACAAAAATACATTTACATATTTCGCAGTGCTTGGCACTCATTAAGGTTAAATAATCCAACACCCAAACCGACTGTTGTCTAGTCGATTAGGACTCATAGCGACCCTATAGGACAGAGTAGACTTCCCCATAGAGTTTCCAAGGAGACCCTGGTGGATTTGAACTTCCAACCTTTTTGGTTAGCAGCCATAGCACTTAACTACTTCGCCACCAGGGTTTCCAAGGTTAAATGAATGCTGGCTAATAATATTGTTATCGTTGCTGTTGTGTTTGTACGTATAAAATTGCAGGGTACTGGAATGGAAATAGAAGTGCTTTTTTGAACTTAAAGGACATGGTTTTAATTCTGTAATAGGATATGTCAATTTAACTAATATTAACTACTATAGAAATACTGGATCTGTGCCAGTTATTAGCCTCGGGTGCATTTCTGTATTTACATTGTTTTCTGTATGCTTGTATTTTTCAAAAGAAGTATATGTCAGGGGTTTCTTATTCATTGTAACTTTAAATACATTCAAAGAATGCATGAAAGGAGAATAACATAAGTACACAATGTTCAAGGGATCACTGTCTTGTTTTATCACAAAGACATTTTAAATAAAATATACATGGTTAAAAGAAGATGACATATTAGAATTTTTTTTGTCTTTCTTTGTCTTTTACCCATTGAAAAGATTTTAACAGAATATTTTAAATTCTTATGAAACAGGATTTATATAAAAAGCACTAACTGTGAAATGAATGGTGATAATTGCTATTTATTCACATTATATATAATACATTAATAAACAAGTTTCAACTGTGAATAGAAAGGCTTTGCCCAGAATTATGAAAATATAAGGACATTGTTTATTTGGAGATATGATGGAAAATAATATTCAGGAAATTGTTAAAATTAGAACATAAAAGTACAGCACCCAATGAGACAGTTCATCTGGGTAAAGAAAGCCCTGAAGCTGGAAGATGAGTAGGCAATATCTACCTGGGCATTTCTGGTGGTAGAGTCCATTCCAGAGGAATTGATTAACCCCCAAACTGTGCCCTCTGAGCTCTCACCGATGACCCTAGTGAAGATTTCCACATCAATACACGCCAGTGTAGTCATTCTTTTTGTTGTTGTTGTTAAGAATATACACAGCAAAACTTACACCAATTAAAGTTTCTACATGTACAATTCAACAAGTTAGCCATCCCAATATATGAATATGACTCTCACATCTGCACATGACTCTTCCCTCAACTTTTCTGCAGGCTACACTGGAGATAATTCACTGTAGTGTCCTTGTCATCAAAGAAGAAAGAGGAAACGGGTACACGGAGAAGACATTGGAGAGAAGAAAAAAAGGAGGAAAAATGGATGTAGCACAGTAGATTCTTAGCTATTAACACAGTCACAATTTTGATTCTATCTTTGTTTCCCATTTACTCCCGAACCCCCAATATAATCCACTAAAAAGTCCTCCTGACTGATTTCATCTATGTCTCTCCATCTCAGCAGTTACCTTCCGAGACCAGGTGGTCTATACTGAATAGCAGTACTACTGACCAGTATACTAATGCATAGTAGTTCATAGACTATTGCTTAGTCTATACTACTGCACAACCTGCTAACTGGCCTCTCTACTTCATTACTGCTCTAAGCAACTGGGTGGTGCAAATGGTTAAGCACTGGACTACCACCTAAAGGCACTGCGGAAGACAGGCCTGCTTCTGAAAGGGCACAGCCTTGAAAACCCTATGGAGTAGTTC